TGCATCATATTATCATTAGCCAACACTCTGGTTGTGTCTGTATGTACTGGAGTTTTGATGAAATGTCAGTATCATTTTCATGGCAGACATTTTGACTTGTCACTGCAGGAAAAACACACCTTTAATAACATAACTTTAATATTGACTCAGTGACCCACTAAACCTTCCTGGCAGCACGCTAGTGTTCTGAAACTAGAACACCTACTGTAAATACAATAATCATTATAATTATTTTATTACATCTGTGCTGTTTCTGCTTTGACATGGAAAACTATTTGCCACAGGAAAGGTCTGAGATTCTAACGCTCGTCTAAGGTTCTGTTGTCTTTCAGCTGAATTTAATGGGTCGACAATAAAGATACGAACTTCCTAAATTATTACTGACCAGAGTCCTGCCACAATCAATTGTTTATAAATGCTACTCTCAACACTTTTGATCAACAAAACACTTCTACATTTAATTAATAAGTGTTTAATTATTTATGACCTTACATACACCTGCCTGAGTGATTATATAGTTGATGTTGACCAGGGAAACAGTCCTTACCTGCTGACACTCAGACGCTGTTTACAGAGCATAGACATATTTTTAAGTATTAATGCCACAGATTTTCTCTGTGACTATTAAGGTAATATCAGGCCCATACATGTCCTTGTGGAAAGCAATATAAATTATATAGAGCTTCACAAATACCCTGCCCACATGACAACACACAATTGTTTAACTTCATATTTATCTTTCCCAGTGTTACCTGTTTGTTCCAAGCACTGTGCTAGTGATCAGTTAGTGAATTAGGTTGTCCTACAATAGCTTTTCAGTCTCTGTGTGTCTTTGAATATTTGAAAATCACAACTTGGGATGAGTCTGAGTAGCCGAGAGTCTGATCCAAAGGATGTCATATGGTTGGTTCACTTTTTCAAAGGCACAATGATCTGTTATTTATAACTTTATGACAGCAGATGACTCTGAGCATGCTTACAGTATTCTGCTTTCATAGTCATGAATGCATATATGCACACACACATTCTGGCATCTACACCAAATTATTCTGAGCTGACTCTGGTGTTGTTTGTATGGCTTTGTGTGTTTCCTGTGTGCTTGAATGGCCTCAAAGGGAATCTGTAAATAACACAGAGCAGTAAACAAAGACAGACAAGAGCCTTTGAGGCCATGCAATCTGATACATTCATTACTAGTCAGTGTTAATTACTATGTGCCTTACAATACAATTCAGCCTTCTTTGTGATACCAGAGTACACAAATGGACAAGTAGCTGCAAAATCAATCAACATGGAAGCCTCTGCTGACATCAAGACCCCTGGGCTGTGCAACTATTTTGGCACTGAGACAAAAGCTTCTCCGGCATCCAATACAAAATAAAGGGCTGTAAAACTATGGGGGAAATTCTTTAGTATCCCTTGCCATGGCAGAGCAAGAAATATTCATGGTGAATGAATGTTTGAATACCTCATGCAATGTTTACTGCATTCATGTTAAACCATTTTTACTGACTTCTGATTCTTCACTCCCACTCTAATGCTTTTTTTTGCTATTTCCTGGCGACTTGTGTTGTCCGTCTGTGTACAATCAGACAAGCAATTATGGGTTGTTTTAAGTGCCATCATTGTCTGTGTTTCTGTCTCTGTCTGGATGTCCATATGCGTCAAGCACACAACCACTCTCTGAATGGTCATTGATCTCACCTTTTCTCTTCCTCTCTCTCAGTCTCTCTTTACCTTTAGGAGCCTATTTTTCCATAATTAAAATCACAACGGCTGCTGCCTAATTAAACAAGCACTCATTTCAGGAAGATTAAAGCCATTACAATTAGCCAGAGAACAGAGAACAAGAATGAAATACACTCTTATGCATTCAAATGCCATTTAAAGAAGGAACAAGGTCTATGAAATCAATTAGTGTGTGTGTGTGTGTGAGGCCAAGAGAAAAGCAAAGAGAAAAAGAGGATCTCAAGTCAAGGTTGTTGTGTATTTGTAATATATTGTATACATTTATGTAGGAAGGTGCAGTCAGAGAGACAGTTCAACAGCCTAATGCTGCCAAACATCCCTTCACTCACTTCTTAGACAAATATTTATTCCGTCTTATGTCTTGTGTGTGCAGGTGAAAAGAGAAGCAGAGGACCAGTTGAGACAGACATGAAACACAAACACATGCTCTAAAACATTCTCCCATTGGCTCAGCACAGCTTAAGACAAATGTCTTGACATTTTCAAGCAATGAAACATGAATCACTCTTCATTTCCACTGAAACACGAAAACAAACTCCACTGGGTAGCACATCTACCAGGGCAATGCATCACTTTGTGTTTGTGTGTTTTCTTGCTGCTCCACCTCACTAACTCTCCCCCAAAGAAGGTAAAACCAAGCCGCAGCACAACCTCTTCAGTATAACTCAGAAAGTTGCTGATCAACAGTTTTTCTCAAGTACACATAAACCCCCACTCCTGAATGTGATCACACTGGAGGTTATTATCTGACAGTGTGACAGTGAATTTGAGGAAATTGGTCTTCCTATCACATATTCATTGAACTGTCATGTAAGAGCACGGAAAGGAACTGATCAGTCATGAATGGGTCAAAAATAAAAAAGTCACACTCTATGATCAGTCATTAACAGCCATAAAAATGAATACCATGTTAAACTAATTGATGTACTGTTTGCATGCTAAACCCATAGTTATGCTAGTTTGGTGACTGTTCACCATTTCAAAGAAAGGCTTGTCCTACATGCACGCCATTCAGTGAAATGGCAAAAGAAAAATGAAAAATGTTTAGTTGCAGAGGTTTCCACCATGAGGAGAGCTTTATTTTTGCAGCATTTAAAGAAAGATTAAAGGCCACCATAAGAATACAATTTGGCAAGCAGTTGTTTTATCTCTCAGCCGCAGAGTGTCTCAAATTAAAAATGAACAATTTGGCAAGAGCTTTATTTTCTTTCCTAACCATGCTATATTAATTCTCAGTTAAAAAAATAACTGGTTTGATATTAAACTTGTAATAACATTATTAAGGTTTACGCTCTCAATATAGAGGCTTAAGGCGCACTTATATTTGCACTGCTACTCTTCCCCTTAAGTAAGCAAGATCAAAAGTACATGCACTATGAAAACACACAGTGTTTCTGCAACTGTGTCATTATCAGGGGTGTGCTGTAGAGAGAGAGACAGATTTTTGGTGTTCTTAATGTGCACTTTTGCCAATATACAACATTCTTACTGCATACATCTCAGGCATCCCTGATGATGACCAAGGCAAAACAATAGATTTAAAGCCCGAAACATGCTGCGTTATCTGCCAATATCATTAGTATGCTATATGTGTTATGTAAAAACAACATGCATCGGAAACCTGTTGCAAACCAAATACTTAAACAAGTTGGGTGTTGGCACAATCCCACTGAGAATCATCCAAATTTGGTGGTGATTTTTCAGAAAAACTGAAGAATTGTGTTGATGTATAGGTTAAGAAAATGTCCCTTGTTTTTATACCACATAAGCAATGAACAAACCTGTTGGGTTACCTAAACATAAATTGTAACAAAGCTGAAAACAAGGCTATGTTTCTTAGCTCATGAAAAGTTGATGTTTTGGAGATATATATGGTTTTCGGTTGTTCACCAACACTAGTGCATGGCAATAACATTTCATGTCACTGAATATAAGTATTCAAATATTCCCTCTTAATGTTCTCCAAGTTATATCCAAAGCTAAGAGCCAGAAGGCAACATTTAAATGACTTCACCTGAATTACACAAGAGCCCAGCGGACTGATAATGATGGATGATAGATGTATAAAGACAGATTACAGGATAACCCATTAACACTACATTTTCCCCAGCCAGTGTGAAAGCACAAGCTGAGGAGACAAGCAGTAATTTGGGTAATTTTGCTCCACACTTCACCCTTTTTCTTAATGACAATAATTATCTGTAGAAAACATCTGTAGGATGTGTTGTCTCCCCCTCCCTTCCTCTCCTTCTTTGTCAGATCAATGTCTTTTCCTTTCAAGTCTTGCTAAATCACATGTGTCTTCTATTCTTCCTCCTCCTCCTGCCATTTCACTTGTTAACAGTCACACTTTGTCTGTGCCCCTAACTCTCTCGGTTTTATGTCCTCTCCTTTATACTCCACCAAACGCCAAATGCCATTTTCTGTCCATTTCGAAAAAATTCTCAGTGCAAATGAAGTTCATAAACTGTATACCTGAGAATGAGTATACCTGGTCATTGTATTTTAGTCCAAAGCATTTTGTTGTTGCCCTTGGGTCACATTTGAAAAAAAAAAAACACACATAACGTATCACTGCTATGCTGATGACGAATTGAATTAGAGATGTGCTTGTCAGAATTCCATCACTGGATGTTCAATAATTTCCTGCATTTGAATGGACACAAGGCCGAAATGTTACTTGTTGGTCCAGCTACATTAGATTTTTTACAGATTCAAATAACCTTGATGGCTGTACAATTTCTCAGACCCATACAGAAAAAAATCCAGGCATTTGTCATCAAGTACATAACACAAACTGCCTTCTTTCACCATGGTAAACTAGCCGAAATAACCTACTATTGCACATTTAGGAGGCAATCTGTGTTTATACTTTCAAATCCAGGCTGAACACATGTTTATTATGATCCCTCCGATTTTCAATGGCTGGATTGTAAGTCACTGACTGTCCTTGACATGTAGCTACCATAAGCCTGTTAAGGTTATACTATCTCCATTAATAAAATTACCAACCTCGACTTTTTTGTAATATTAACTTATTACCTGTGAATGTGTGTACTTTTATATTTAATATTGTATGTTTTTTTAATGTTGTTGTTTAAAGTGTACAGAGACTGAGTTATGTGCACTTTAAATAGATTAAGGTTGAAGATCTTAACTCCCCTCTTAGCACAGTATGGACAGTCTGCACAGTATTCCTAAATCACATTTTGGGTCATTTGTACTTTGACAGTGGGAAAACTCGTACTTACCCCAGTGGTTTCTCCAGTCGACTGGCTGGTGATCCAACAATCTCCCCAAGAGTACAGAACGTCTGACCCAAAAAGTCCTGGAAAGAAAGAAAGAAAGAAAG